GAGTGAAGGAGGGGCAGAAGAGAGGAAGGCAGCATGAGGTGTAAAGCAGAGAAAAGGAGACATGAAATGGGATTGGTCGTTCTAGTGGTGTTGGTGGCGGCGATGATGACGAGGATGATGATGACGATGACGATGACGATGGAGATGATGATGATGATGGAGATGATGATGATGATGGAGATGATGATGGAGATGATGATGGAGATGATGATGATGATGATGATGATGATGATGATGATGATGATGATGATGATAAGGAGGAGGAGGAGGAGGAAGAGGAGGACAAGGAAGAGGAGGAGGAGGAGGAGAAAATTTTCATGCTGATGACACTGATCTCACCTTGGAAAATCGTAGGCAGATGGATGGAATTGAGGATTCTCACTCACATCGAGGACGAGAACGACCCTCTGACAATGCTGTGAGATTCAGCGACGGATTGGAGCGACGAGGGGGATGATTGAGCAAAGACAGAAACAACCAGAGCCACAAGAGGGTTGCAGTAGAATCAGAGAAGGAGAATGATAGCGAGCGGGAAGAGCAGAAAAGATAAAAACTATTGAAGAAATGAAGACATTCGATCGATTTCATCGAAACATGTGGGACAAGACAAGGACAAGTGGGACTTTGCAGGTTGTTGCACGCAATAAAATCACCTGAGCTTCACATTTCCTTGCGAAAGACTCGATGGAGTGAAAGAAAGGAACGGCTGTACGCTGTGACATCTTGGAGATGGTAAGCCGATCGACGTGTCAAGGAGAAACTGATCACCTCGCTCAGTGACTTTATGTCCCTTGATGCCGCCTAGCAAGCTCATGAGAGGAATGCAGCGCAAACGAAGAGCCATGAGGAGGGAAAGCGGCGAGAGAGCGAAGGGAGCGAGGAAGTGAAGTGAAGGAGCAAGGGAACGAGGAAGCGGAGGGAGAGATGAGGAGTGGATAGAAATGCAGAGGATATTCAGGGGATTAGAAAGGAGTGATTTGTGAAGGAGGATCAAATGTTTCGTCACCTTCTCCGCAAAAGTGTTGAAGAAGACAAATGCGACATTGGAAGCAAGCGCCTCCTGCAGAAGACAGGATGAGTGAAGATAAGGACAAACATAAGGGCAAACATAAGGACAAACATAAGGGCAAAGGTAAGGGCAAACATAAGGACAAAAATAAGGGAAATGGTAAGGTTAAACATAAGGACAAAATCAAGGGCAAAGGTAAGGTTAAACATATGGACAAAGATAAGGACAAAAATAAGTATGAGAACAAGTACATAGGCGAGCAAAAGGGAAACAAATCGACTTCATCTCGTGTTCAAGTTGTGTTGGACCTGAAATGCGCAGAGCCATTTGTGCAGCTGGAAAACATGGAGGGTGACGCGACTCTGAGAGCGGTTTCACACACATTGCAAGGCAACAGACTGTCAGCTTTCCTGATGCGCGTTGGTGAGATTGTGCAATGCCGGCCTGTGAGAAACTGAGTGAGAAGAGGAGAGGAAGAGACGAGCAGGAAGAAGGGAGAAGGAGGAAGGGAGGGGAAGAGAGAGAAAGGGAGGGAGGGAGGGAGGGAGGGAGGGGAGGGAGGAAGGGAGGGAGCGGGGAAAAGGGGGAGGGAGCGATAGTATCCAACCTGTACCATCCCTCCTGTGCCAGAAAGATCTGGAGCGCCTTGATAGTTCTAATGTGAGAGAGGAATGAAGTACGAGGACGATGAAACCTGCGACGATCTCTGGTGAAACCTCCCGTCCACGTTGAAGTTCACCATCGTCCCCACCTGAAAAAGTCAGCCCCTTCCTCCTCTCCATCTCTCATCTCTCGACCTCCCCCCCCCATCCCCCCCACCCCTTCCTCCTCCTCCTCCTCCTCCTCCACCTACAACAAGTGGCATTAAGTTGAATCAAAACCAACCTCATAGAGATCTACCCCTGATTATCGAGATGCTTTTTATTG